GAAGGAAGGAAGGAAGGAAGGAAGGAAGGAAGGAAGGAAGGAAGGAAGGAAGGAAGGAAGGAAGGAAGACTGACTGACTGACTCTCGGTCTGTAAGACAGTGAGAGGGAGAAGAATCTACCTATCCTGATCCACTGTCAGTTTTTGTTTTTTGTCTTGAGTCTAACTTGACTCCTAGCAACTACATAGAGAAGTCCATACAATTTTTAGGCAACATTTTCAGAAGGGGTTTGCCACTGCCTTCTTTCTAGGGCTCTCAGAGAACAACAAGCTAAATCACCCAGCTGGCTTCTGGGCCCAAGGGAGGACTAGAACTCATGTTTCCTCTCTCCTAATCCATGTCTTAACCACTGGACCAAACTACTATCCACTAATTCAGCCCCAAAAGACTCCCCAATCATGACTATGTCCCACCACTAGATCATGATGTCCCATATCTACCTTGAGGAATAGAAGCTTGCTTTAAAAAATGAGAGTTCAGATACTTGTGTTGCTGAGCTATGTACTCTATATCAGTTCTGCATTTTGCTAATATAAGGACAGAAAGTTTATGCACCATATACAGAGATACGTTCTCCCAGCCTGGCATCTGACCTCTTTACACCTACCTCTGGCCACAGTGGGCAAAGGGGAAAGCAATTTGCACACTCACCGCTTGCGCCCATCCAGAATATGGTCCCCAAAGGCTGCGGAAGAAGTTCCCTGAAGGCAAAGTGAATTTAAATTAGGATGTGGCAGACAAGACCACATAGCTTGAAAAATGGAATAAGGGTTCATTTCTTGAGATAGCTCATATCCCTTCTCATATTATTGTATTTCAGTTCTAGGCGTCTGCTGGAGGGGAAATTAAAGATTTAACAGGACTTGTATCAAGCTTTAAATATCTATGGGTGGTTTTGAATGCTTCTAGACTGCTAATGGAAATTTCCTGTCCCAGAATGTCCAGAGGACTACCACTGCTATTTTAAGTTTTTTCCAGACTAGAGGAGGCTATTACAGACTTTTTTCCCCCTTTTATTGTATTGTTAAGGTTTATATTTATATGGTTTCAATGCAGTAATGTTTATATAACATTCTATTATTTAAGAAGCTACTGAATATATAACATTCTATTATTTAAGTAGCTATTGAAAATAGAAAAAGAAAAGTAAAACTTCTATCAATATTAATTACAATTTAGGATGTCAATATTACAAGCATAAAATTATTTGGCTTCTCATCCAAGAGGCTATTACATACTTGAAGCTCTTAATGTGTTGGAAGGTTAGCCCTTGGTACATTTTCTTTATGAAGCTCAACTGGGCCTTTTCTCTAACTTTATCCCTCTGAAGCTCATTCAGGCTAGGCTTTTAGGAACTGTTTTCCAGGAACCTCAGTGTGTCCCAAATGCTGGATTACAACTGAAGGCAGGTGCAGTGGAAGACCAGGTATGGTGGTCCATATTTAGCTTAGCTGCTGACCAGAGTTATCCTTCCTTCCACCAAGACCACCCTCTGTAATGCTACCTGGTGGATAGGAAACTTCATGGAAATGAAGTTTACTGGAAAAAATGCTATTTATAATTGCTGTGTGGCATATTGCTTCCAGTAAAGCTAATGGCCTCTTGTCCTGCTGGAGATTTCCCAGAGCTTATCATTGACCACTATGGGAAATAAGATGTGGTTGAAATAGGTCTGACTCACCACAGCCATTTTGACATATATGTTTTCTGAAATGCATTCCTGGACCAGTAGGCCTTGTTCAGTCACCCATGCCTTAGTCACCTCTCGTTTGGATTACTGCAATGCGCTCTACATGGGCCTGCCCTTGTAGACCATCCGGAAGCTGCAACTGGTCCAGAATGCAGCACCACGCACAGTTTTGGGTGTCCCATGGTTCACCCAAATAACACCACTGTTGCATGAGCTGCATTGGCTTCCAGTAGCTTTCCGGGTGCAATTCAAGGTGATGGTTATCACCTTTAAAGCCCTACATGGCACAGGGCCAGGTTACTGGTGGGACTGCCTCTCCCTGAAGGCATCTGCCCATCCTACTAGGTCAGATAGGGTGGGTGTGCTCCAGGATCCCTCTCTTAAATGGTGCCATCTGATGGAACCTCGGGGGCATGCCTTCTCAGTGGCCATCCCAGTCCTTTGGAACAGCCTCCCACAGGAGATCAGAGGGATCCCTACCCTTTTAGCCTTTCAGAGGGCTGTGAAGACCTGGCTCTTCCCCTAAAATTGGGCTAGGATGTGGGGTTAAGCTGTGAGGATGTTTGGTCTGGCGCCTGGGAGGAAGGATATGTTTTTAACTATGTTTTATGGATTGTAGTGAGCTGCCTAGAGTCATTGTATGAGATAGGTGGCCATACAAGTCCTGTAAGTAAGTAAGTAAATAAATAAATCTGAAAGTTTGAAACTTGACACAGAGATGGAAGCAGTGAGAATGATTCCCAGTGTAAAAGGGAAACCCAAGATGGTCTTACGCTTCAGCTCACAAGCAAGCAAAACCCATTCCAAAGCACCCTCACCAATCTCTCGATGGACACGCTCCGTCACGCTGCGGGCCCCCATGCCCAACTCTTGACCATAGTAACGTTTGGCAACCTGCCATATATGGGTGTCCACCGGTACGGCTTCAGCTTTGTCCAACGCCATGAGGCACACACAGTCGGCCACCTGCAAGGGAGAAGAAGAATGTTGCACCACAGCAACGTTTATCAAATTTGTATGCTACCATATTCTCTATATTGCTGATATAACAGTAAATAAGAGTTCCAAAAATGTCCACAGTAATGAAAATACCATATGACATATTAAAATAAGTCCATTTTAATCACAGCAACAAACAATAGTAAACACAGATAGCATGATCCCAACTTAGACCCCAAATACTCTTCATAAGAGCTCCATCTTTACCAGCTTCTAAAAAGTTACTAAAGGGGAGGCTAATCTAACTTCTAGGGGGAGGCTGATCCACAGGATAGGGGTCGTTACAATGACTCCAGGCTTCAACTCCCCTTGCCTCATGAACATGGGAAGCCACCAAGTTTTTCCCAGGATGAACAAATCAACAGGTTTATTCTGATTGAAGAATACATCTGTCATTGTTTGATTATCAGAGATAATCAGATGTGGGGCCAGGGAAGGGGGTTTGGCCTTCAGCAAAAATGGGGCCTCAAATTTAGGCACTTGCTCTGTTTTTATTTTTAAAAAAGAGTTCAGTTACAGTCCACTGTTTTGTTGGGGCCTCAAATTGAGGCCCTTGCTATGTTTTTAGAGTTAAATGTAAAACGGCTTTGTTTCACAAGTGGTCATTTTTCATTTTTATTATAGCTAAGGCCTCAAAGGTTGGAAGTGGCCTGAATGTTTCTGGATCTCTGGGAGGCCTTGGTGGCCTCCCACAGCAAAAGCGAAGCTACCTCAAGCCCTTCCTCACAAACCAAAACTACGTGTCCCCAAAACAGGCACAGCCAATTAGCCCACACACTTTGGCTAACCAGAAAAACAGTTAGGGAGGGGGCCTGGCTCATGCTCACCTTGACTCCCACTCCAGGAAGGGTGCACAAGGCGTGCCGAGCCTGCTCATAAGGGACGGTGCGCAATTGCTGTAGGCCGGTGGCACCACCGAGAGTCTTCAGAACAGCGCGGGCGCTCTCACTAATAAACCGTGCCCGATAACCAAACCCCAGGTCCCTCAGCCGAGCCTCTGTATCTGCTCCTGCAACGGTTCACCCAAAGAAACGAAGACATGAAACCAGATCCAGAAATAATTCTATTTTCAGCAAGAATAGGCAGTGCCACTTCAGTCAACTAATGCCTGATGAAGAGATATAAGACAGCTTACAGTTCAGCTGCAGAAGGAACAATAGAGCAACACCATCGTTTTATCAAATTGACCTACACCCAAGTAAGAATTTAATCCTCAAAGGAATAGTCCTAGGCACTTTTGTCCTAACCTTAGTATCTGCTGCATACTCACCAAGTCTCCCAACAGACTGTTAACCAGCTCTTTCTTAAAGGAGAATAAATTCAGAATTTTCCTTTAGCAAGCAAATAGAATTTTTGCTGCAGGATGGACCTTTGTAGCTCATCTCGGGGACGTATTTTCTCATAACTTGTTTCAGTTCCCTAAGTTACCAGTGACTTGGTTCCATCCAAGCAATGAGTAAGGACTATTAGGCAATGGTGCTAATGGACAGTGCATCATGTCACTCTTCATGGCACAAATGTCTTTACGCATCTAACAAAACTGCAAGTATCCTTGTACAAACTGCCCAGTCAAAGGCTCGAAGGATCTTTCAAGGAAGGTTTATGAGAGTTTGGTTTATGAGAGTGGTGCCTTCTCCCAGTCCATTCATTCTTTCTATACCATTGATTGTTGGTGAGAAGAGTAGCCAGCGTCAAAAACCAACGGCGGATATCTACGTTCCCAGCAATTGACAACTGCGCTTTTAAGCTAAGCCTTCAGCACTTCTATGTGCAATCTTACATTGACTTTTCCTTCAGATCAATGTCCACTTGGGTGTATTCATCCTTTACAAGCCTGAATTGCCAATGGTTTCCTTATCCTTGCTGAGTCGTGTTCCCAAGCACTTAAACATTTCTTCAGCTATATGACCTATAATAAATTAAGAGATCTTGAATAACTACTGAATCGCTCTTAAGAGAGTCATATCGAGATGGCGTACAGAACACATTGCTATTAGGGTTTTCCTAGCTGCAGATTGCTGAAAAACGTTGGTACTCAGTGGTATATGAAGTGTAATAATAATAATAAGTGAGAAGTCCTGTTGGGATGGAAATGATGACTACAAATAAGGTATGTGGAGGTTTAATTTATTTTATTTTTTACTTATGCCCTTTATTATTTCAGAAATAGGCCCTCCATGATTTAAAGCAGGACTATAGTAAAATTGCACGTTGAATCAGCTAGCCCTGTGACCCTGGAATGGACACAGATAACGGAAATCAGACATCTATCCCTCCTTAAGAGTATGAATGGAGTAGTGTGAAAGGAGGAAGTCACAATCATACTGAAACAGCTCATCTGAAACAGGAAGATCACCTCCTAGGTTAACAGGAGTGCTCTCACACTCTCGTCTGGCATTCTCAAAGCAGTCCAAAAGTTGCTGGACATCAGCTAACAGCTTCCCTATGTGTGGTGAAAGGAAAACACCAACCTCTGTGTGAGAAAGCCCTAGACCCAGAGTATGAATGCCTGCAGACTCAATGCTTGCTAAGCATAAAGGTTGCTTGGAAGAAAGGACAGGTGTGAGGGTTGGAGAAGAAGGATGAGGGAGATGGCAGATGCCAGAGGATGACAAGGAGAAGCCTGCAGAAAGCATCTACTGGATTACCTGATCAGGCTTATTAAATAAACTCCTCCACCCTTCTGCGCTGTCTGGCTGGGACTCAGCTTTGCCCAGGCAGAGAGGACAGATGGTTCCTCTTGCTTGAAAGCCTTCCTCAGTGGGAGGGAAGGGGCCAGAGACTTCTCAAGGAGTTACTTATACAGCCATAGTTGAGGCTGGAAGACTTACTGTTAGTGTGAGAGCAGGAGAACAAGCCTCAATCTGCTGCCTCCAGATCCATTTACTTCCTTGGTCAGTTATTTTATGTTAAGCTTTACTGTGAGTTCTTAGCTTGGACTGCTGAGGTTCCAAAAAGTCTGTTTTTGTTTTCAGCCCCTGGCCCTGAATGCTCAAGAGCCTGGGAAGAATAAACTTCCACAGGTTCTCTACATCTTGGAAAGTCCCATGTTTGCTTTCTGTTACTTGCAAGTCAGCTCCTGTAATGGTACGTGGGAATGACCTTGGAAGACAGGGGAAAGAGCTGCAGCCAGGGAAATGGTCGGATAAGAGGGAGCTTAGCCCTCAGCAGGAATGTGAGTGTGGCAAACATCTCAGAAGGGACCCTCCGTAGTTTCTTGGGCTGTAAAGATGACAGGGGAGAAATATACTTTTAGTCTTTCAAGATTCTGTTAAGGTAACTTTACAATAAAGTAGAGCTAGTTCTTCTGAGTGTGCTTCTTGTCTAGACCACCTCACAAGGCTGACAGCTCCCCACCTCTCTGTCTACAAGGGTCTCTGCCACATTATGCTTTTCTGCCTCACCCCAAGTTATCCCCACGCCAAAATTTTCAAACTTACTTGGCGTAGCTACCAAAACCCAGATTATTTGGGAGCAGGCATGGGGCTGGGCAGCCTCACCCAAGGGGGTCCATTTTCTAAACCTGAAAGTGCTCCAGATCTCCTTGCTCTCAGCCAATGGCCAAGTCAACCTCTTGCGTGCTCAGTGGCCACAGCACAGAAGTGCTCCTCTGTTGCCTCCCATACTGTCTGTCTTTCCCAAGCACATAATAGGTAGAAAAAAGCAAGGAAATTAATGGAGAAAAACACAGGTTTTGTAACAATAAATCCAACCTTTTTGAAATGTAGGTTTAAGTTGTGCAAAACAGATGCAGTTATATTAGCATTGCATGATAAATATCTGTTCCACAGTTACAGTCTTTTGACACAGAGAAGAGCATTTTTTTAATGTGTCCTTTTGGGAACAGGACAGGAAGCAAAGGAGTTAGACACATAGAAGGATGCTTTGTTGAGGGAAAGGCAACAAAGCAACTTAGCTGCCTAAGGTTTACCTGCCATTGCTTGCAATGAGGGAAATGCATGATAAGTCTTGGTGTCCAGCTGGCAGAGGCGGCGCCCAAAGGCCTGGCACAAGTGTTGAATCATGTTGGTGATGCGTGACAAGTGGTTGTTGGAAGTGCAGATAAAGGAGAAGAGGCATTCCACTGGGTCCTGCCGCAGCACCCTTACGCCTGGAGGAAGAAAGAGCCAGCCAAGCACTCAGTCGACTCTAAAAACTTGAAACCTAGCAGTTATTGGGATTAAGTGGGATGAGCACTTAGCGCCCAGCCCTGCAAGCACTCTGTGGGATTCATTCCTGGGGTAGAGCACCACTGGGACATTGGACCTGACCTGAGAAGCAGATTCAGCATTCCATCTTGGCTGGTCAATGCCAGGATGCAGCCTTGGGCCAGAAGCTCTCTCCACTGAGCTGAAGCATCACTCCCTAGGGCCACCAGATTCCCCTGTGCAGGAGATGAGGAGTGATGAGTGATGCTTGCTGCCTCTTCCTGCATGGAGGATAACCTGCTTGCACTTGGGTGCAATAGCAACCGAGACTGCAGGTTTGCTCCATCGACACTTTTTTCTTCAAAAAGAGAAAGACTCTTGCAAGAGTCGCAGGAGAAAGGGAAAGGCTTTGAAGGAGGGAGAGAGGCCCCATTTGAGGCCCTGCAGGTTCATCTGTAAATTATTTTCCCAAGATTCTCAGTTAAAATCAAAAGTACCTAACCCTTAACATGATTTTAAAAAGTTGACAAATGTGCAGGATGAAATTTCAGAGGTAACCTCTTTGCAGGGAGGGAAGAGACTGAGTTAAAGCTTTGGGTAGGCTTTGAGACCTCACTACTATCTTCCTATCACCAGTCATGTATTTTATGTTTAAATTAACCGAGGAATTCAGTTTTTATTGGTGCTGAATTATAAGATGGTTTCTGATTTCTGGATTTTCATAGTACTAGCAGTAAGAGCTAGATGTCCATGTAGGAATCAGAGGAATCTCTGGGCAAGAACGCCTCACTTCAGGGTCACTTGTCTGCCCATTTTCAAATCTCCCTCTGCCAGACAAGGACAATGTTTGTTCCCTAAAGTGAATAAAAATAAAGACATTTAAGAATGCAAATCCTGCATCAGATTCTATGAGAAATCTTGCACTCTTGATATCACAAGATACAGCTTTGCTGCTGGTCAACTACTCTCAGCTAAACAAAACATCACATTGTTCTATTTCCTGAAAATAAATGCTTGTGCACAAATTAGGATATTGCACTATTTCTTCATCATGTAAAAAACCATGTACTTTTCTTACAGCAATACATCACTCTCCAGTGTTATTTCTTAGTTCGCCTACCTGGGAATTTAACGGCTACTTCCCGGAAGTGCGAGTCAACGAAAGACCAACCCTGGTATAAGGCAGATACATTTACATGTAGCTGGAAATAGTCCTGGAGGATCTGCGAAGGAGTCAACCCATCTATTCCCCGAGCCAGCTCTCCTGACAAATGGCTGCCCGAACGTTCGCTGGTCCCAGCACGACTAGGGTCAGGATGTGTTTGCTTCCTGCTCTTCTTCAGGGGGGGTTCGGAGAGGCATTCTTCCTCTCTGCTACCCTCCTCCTTTTCCTCTTCATGCAAGGTGTACCAGAGTTGTTCCTCAGACTGAGTGAGGGTCCAAACCCGTCCAGCCAGCACGCCAGTCCAGTAGCCGGGGCTGGTTTCAGACCACCTGAGAAAATCACAGGCTTGGTTAGCAGCAGAAACAGCCAAGTGTCACCTAAAAAGGCCATCCAGATCCTCCAGTCAATACCTCATTTCTCAACTTAGTTGCCACATTTCTTAAAAATGAGGTCACCTATGAAAAATGTCTGAGTCACGATTCACCAGAATAACAAAGTCTGCACTAGAACCACTCTGGTTTGGGTCCCAAAATAAGTTAATAGTGAAGTTCATAAAAGGAACATTTCAAATCTCATGTCTTTTCTCTCAAACTTCTCTCAAATGATACAAGGGCAGCCCCCTTCCATTCTATGAAGAAGTTTTCTAAAATGGCTATAGGGGGAAATGAGGGAATGAGAAACTTTCCTAACTTTCCTTCAGGTTGTGTGCAATTTAAGTATTAACAATTATATTAGACCAGTGTTTCTCAACCTTGGCCACTTGAAGATGTGTGGGCTTTAACTCCCAGAATTCCCCAG